ATGATCATCAATTCCTACGGGATTGGGGAAAATCCCTTCTACCCAAAATTCATGCAAACATACCAATTTTGACCCGTTTTTCCCCCCCCCCCCCCCCCCCCCCCCCCTTACCTCGATAACTCGATCAGGCTGTTGAAAATCCTCGAAGAATCGATAATCTTGGCTTCCTCTCTTCTTCCTCTTTGATTCTTCTCCTCACTCTCTCTTCCACTCTTGACTGTGTTCTTCCTCTTCTCCTCTTTGATCGTGTTCTTTCCTTTTCCAACTCAAAATACCCCTTCTTCTATTCTTATTCCATTAATAATAATAATAATAATAATAATATTAATAATAATAATAATAACAATAATAATAATATTACCATTATTCATTAAATTATTATCACTAAATATCATTATTAATATTAAAGTCCAAAAACATTAACTAATCTCCATACTTAAGGGCACCCTCAACGCACTCAAACACACGCCCACAAAAGGCACACCGAAAATAAAATAACACAAAAAGACTAGATAATTAAAATGGGTGTTACAGTTGTCATCATCGAAAAGGGGGAGATTGTGAATGCATGGTTTCTCGAATATTTTGATGACGACAAACATTCATCAACTCAAGGATGGTTAAAAGTATTTCAAGAGTTCAAGATCAAGATCAAAGACCTTCATTATCGAAGAATTATATCAAGAATTGATGAAAATATGAAGATGGTTTTAACACAAAGGAAGGTATAACATTTAACATTTATATAGCTTATACAAGTGTTCAAAACCCTCCTAATTTCTTTGCATGTTTATTAGAAAAAGTATTTTATATTTTCGAAGCCTTTCTGCCACTGTTTTTGAGTTTTTTTGGCAAAATTGGGCCAGAGTAATCGGCTACTCTATCCTGGTAATCAATTACCCTGAAGAAATATTCAAAAAATTTTAAGACGTTAAAGTATGTAATCGATTACCCATTTGCATAACCGATTACCACTGGCGCTGCAGGCCAAAATGATGCATCTCATGGTAGAAAACTCTCATTTTCTTTTCTACTTGAACCATGGCAACCCTTGATCATTTGCAATCCTTTGTAGATGTGTTTAGAGGCTATATAAACCTCATAATCTCATATTTTGAGATTCACCTTATTGAAAATAAAATTTTCAAACTTTATTATCATTCAAACTCTTAAAATCTTCAAGTGTGAAAATCTGAAATTTTCAAAAGAAAAACCTTACATTTGAACTTTCATACAAATCATTTTTAAGTTTCATTCTACCATTCAAGGACACTTGTATATCTTATATAGAGTTTGTATGTTAAAGAAGAAGATTAATCATTTGATTGATATTTGAAGATCAACTTCAAGCACTCCAACAAAATCAGAATTAAGTATGTTGTTGATTACATCTTATTTTCAGGATTGTTGAATTTAAGATTGTAAGGTTGTATTCCCTGCTGTCCAGGATTGTTAGAAGCAAGAGAGTTGAGTTTGAGAGGATTGTTCTCATTTCAACTTTGTTGTAAAATCTAAGAGGATTGTTCTTGGTGTAATTGTTAGAGCCTTGTCTAGAAAGACTAGGATAGTCTTGTCTTAAGATCTAACATTATTGAAAAATCTCTTTCATGTTTAAAGGGGACTGAAGTACTCTCGGACTGTGAGGGGAACCAGGATATATCGCCGTGTCATTTACTTTTCGCATTTATCGCTTTCATCACTTAGTAATCTCTAAGAAAAGTAAAACTTGAAACCTTCGAAAAATCCGAAAAAAATTTTAAGTACCTAATTCTCCCCTCCTCCCTCTTAGGTGCATATCTTACTAACATCCCTTAGGATTTTGTTTATGTTGATGATATCCTAATAACAGAGACTTTTTATACTCTCATTCACAAACTGATTTGCAAACTTCATGATCAATTTGCACTTAAATAACTTAGGAAACCTGAGTATTTTCTTGGCATTGAAGTCAAGTATCAAGGAAATAGATCTCTCATACTCACACAAATAAAATATATCATAGACATACTTTCTAAGGTTAGCATGGAAGAAGCAAATGAAGTTCACTCTCCCATGTTCAGTCACTGCAAAACTAGCAAATTTAAAACTGATTCTATGAAGAATATTCTTATGTACATGTTTGTAGTGAATGCTTTGCAATATCTCACACTAACAAGACCAAATATATCATATTGTATGAACAAAGCTTGTCAGTTTACGGTCAATCCGCTTAACAGTCATTAATGCTTAGTTAAAAGGATTTTGAGATACTTGAATGGTACATCAACACATGGCTTGTTGTTATCTCATGTAAAATTTGATTAAGAATTGTCTTTAAGATCATATTATGATTGAGATTGGGCAAATGATTCAGATGATAGAAAATCTATTTCTTGAACATGTATTTTTATTGGTCTAAATTTGGTTTTTTGGAGCTCTAAGAAACATTCCTTGATTGCTAGGTCAAATGCTGAAGTTGAATATATAGCTTTAGCACTCATTACATCTGAGTTGTTTTGGTTTGAATCTTTATTAGTTTATTTGAAAGTTAAATAGCTCTCCTCAACTTTTCTCTATTATAGCTTAAGTGTTGTGTTGCTATCTTATAATTTTATTCTATATGCCACCAGAACAAAACATAATGAATTAGATATTCATTTTATTAGAGAAAAGTTCATGACAAACAAGCTCAAAACATAATATACATGCTTTAGCACACTTAGATATTATGACAAAGTCCTTGTCAACTGCAGCTTTTCATGACTTGAGGAACAAACTCATAGTGGTTATGCTTTCATCAAACTGATCTTGTGAAAGAGTATTAGATGAATCTAGAATATGTTGACTTTCCTCAACTCTGATGTAAATAAAAGTAATTAGAGCTAGTTGTAAAAATATGTTAGAAAGTTTGTTAAAGGAGTTGTAGTGTACTTGGATATGTACTCCATTTAAAAGGAATGGTATGTTCTGTATAATTTTTCACTAGAAATTGAGAAAACCAAAAGATTAATTTTTGAACTTCAATAAATATAAATATACATTAATAAAGATTAAAATATATTTAAAATCACAAAATTTTTCAAAAAAATATATTTCAAAAATACTAAATTTTATGAAAAGTTATTCAAATCAGTTTCAAATTTATATGATTTTTAATATTTTGATATCTAAAAATAATTATAGGAAAATAATAAAATATGTCATGACTAATTATTTAATCAATTCTCTTAAAAGCTGTTAACTTATAAATATTAACAATCATCTTCCATTAACATATATATATTACATCTCACCCACCTTATAAACCATTTTTTTATCTGAAAATTTACCATTTTAAATAATTTTTAAATATTTTTAAGAACAAAAACATGTAATATGACTATTATTTTTTAAAAACCAAAATAAACATCCCTTAATTCTAAAAGGCACTATCTCATTAATGAATGTGACATTCTTGAATGAAAGGATAGAATTAGTATTACTCTGATGAGACATGAGACAGGCTGGCTTGATGCCAAAAATGCAATGCTGACATATTTGGCCATAATACCTACAATTCTTCTTTATGTTTTTTCATGCTATTTGAGATAAGAGTCCCTAGTCGATGATTGGGTGGTGTTTGTTGCTTTCAGCAAGTGGTTAGTTAGTTTGTGTACTAAGAAAAAACACAATTTTTTGGAGTTATCTATCTGAATGCAAAACAAAAAGTTGTAATTTTAATCTAGGTATCCTTAATTTTATAATTTATTTCTTTTTATTCTTTCTATTTTTTTTAATTTACTTTTCAATTTAATTAATGAAAAACAGTTTTAAAAAGTTATATGTAATTTCGAAAAGTGATAATTATATTTTTTAATTTGTGTGAAATATTTAAAATAATCTTATAATTTATGACAGACAATTAATTAATGACAAAATATAGTGCCTAAGTAAATATAAAAATTATACTCTTCTAGTCATTAAATTTACAGATTAAAAAAGATTTCATGCTTTTCACTATAAATCTGTATTGATAATTTATTTTTTATTGTAGTTATTTAGTCTATGTTTATTTTATATAGTTCAAATTGATCCTGCAAATATAACATTAATTTTAATAGTGTATTTTTAGTTTCTTATCATTCAAAATTAATTTTTAATTCGTAATTGATTCTAACTTGAAGTCATAGTATATATATACTTTTAAAAGATTCATATTTATACTAGTGGAATAGTTAAATGAATTCAAATACTGTAAATAGAGGTATTTTAATAAATAAAAAAAGAAATGATTAATTAATATTTTAAAATGGATAAATAAGTTGAAACAGAATAATATAATTTAGTATTTTTCAATATTAACGAATAATTATTGTTATCTTTTGTTATACAAATACTATTTATTGCTCTTCTTTTTTTTAACTTATCTTTTTTGTATAAATATAAATTTATAAAATAACATGTATACAAATTTTTTATATAAAATAAATTATTTATTAATATTTATAAAACTAACAAAACAATACCCAATAAAAATCAGAATGCATCTTAGCATAAAATACTTTTTAATTTCCTTGACTAAAATAAACTCTACCTAACCAATTAGTTGAAAATTCCATTTATGATTTCAGAATCAAACATGCATATAATAATACTAATGCTAAGTGGAATTCTCATTATAGAGAAAAAGACCCCACATTTCTGATATTACTGTCAAAAGAAAATAACAACAATAAAAAAGTTGATTGGAACATATCTAAAGTTGCATTGAATGAGATCACCGTATCAAATTTAATATCATTTGAATGAGATCACCGTATTTTATTTAAGAGTTTTAAGTTCGATTTTAACTAAATAATACTCTTGAAAATATTTGACATAGTTCAATACTAGATAAGATTACAAACACTAGATAACATAACAAATAGAGAAATGAACAATCACGTGAGTTCATCCATTGGATTCAATTACTCTACGGTAGTCGCAAACTTCACCCTCACTATACGATTCCAGCACAGATCACAACACAGCAACAAAGACACCTAAATCTTAGATGTCCTTTGGAATCTTCCGATTCTGTAATATTTCAAGTCAGCCTGATCAGTTTTTCCATCGGTTGCCAGCTCGGTCAGAATTTTACCAACAAGCGGAGCCATCTTAAATCCGTGGCCGGAAAACCCGACACCCAAAACAACATTATTCTTAAACTCACCACCTAAGAAGTCAATCACAAAGTCTTCGTCTGGAGTCATTGAATACAGACAAGCCTGTTTCACAACAGGCTCAGTCGTATCAATCACTCCAGAGAATGTCGTGTCAATCCACTTCTTCAACTCATTCATCATCTCGCCGGGTCCCCATGGCCTCTGATCAGGGTCACACTTCCGACCACCGTGGACACCTAATTTAAGCAAACCCGGAAACTCCAAAGTTGGTGTTCCATAGTAGTAAATCTTACCATAGCTAGCAAAAGTCGGAAAATCGCCACCAATTGAGAATTTACCTTCATGTCCTTCTTTTATTCTCCAGTAACAAAGATGAGTCTCGATAGGCTGTATCGGAATATCAATACCTCTGATTTTCTTAATCAGCTTATTCGCCCATGATCCCACGGTTACCGCGACTTTCTTACCTCGGATCTTTTCACCGTTCTCAGTAAAAACCACAACCTCGCCGCCGTTGTTTTTGATATCTACAACCTTTCTGTTGTCTTTGAGAACAGCACCGTGTTTGTGCGCCAGTGTCTGAAACATGGCAGTTGCTTTTGTGGCCTTTAACATTCCGCCATGTTCTGTGGACAGACCCAACCAACCTTCCTGTATGTTGAGTTTCCCGGCGTATTTCGCAGCAACTTGCTCGGCGTTCAGAAGCTCGTAGTTAACACCATGTTTCTGGCAGTTTTCGATGACAGCGCGGAAGGATGGATCGTTGAGATGGCCAATGTCAAGGTGTTGAGCTTTGAAGTAAACATCATAGCCAACTTCGGCCTGAATCTCTTCCCAGAGTTTGTATGATTCAACTACTAGAGGATAGTAATGGCTTTGTGGATAGGTGGATCGAATCGTGCGGGACTCACCGTGGGACGATCCGCGCTGGTGAAGGAAATCGAACTGTTCGAGCAAAAGAGTTTTGAGGCCACGTTTGGCTGCTTGGTAGGCGGTGGAGCTACCCATCACGCCGGCGCCGATGATGATCAGGTCGAATTGAGGATCTCCCATTGGATGGAATTGATGCTGACTCAGTGCTGATGTGTTTATGATTGGCAGTGTTTTATGACAGTTCTATCTCAATATATAGACAGTGTGGAATCTTTTTTTGCCGCGCGTTTTTGTTTTTATATACACAGCACGCATACATTTGTTATTTTTGGTCCTTAATTTGTTACCGAATGGAAGCCATGCATGCGTGCCATTTTGATCATGTTATGGAAAATATGACAATTTGATTACTATAAAAGATATGGATAAAAATTACTAGCACCCACGAAGTTGATAGGATAAAAAAATTATAAAATATGAATAAAGAAAATAATTTGAGACATATATGCCAACACATGATTATTAGTCTCATTTATTCTTATTTTATTTTATTTTTTATGTATTTTTATTTGAAATTAATTTCGTATTGTTAATTATACCTTTTACGGATTAAAATATTATTACTTATATTTTTGTCAATTTTTTTACTAAAGACAATCTATAATATAAAAAATTTGTTGTTCTAAAAATCACCAAAACACTTTTTTTTTAATTCCACCATGACAGTAAAAATTAAATATTGTGTTTAAATCTAACTTTTTTCAACCATTAAAGTATTGCTGAACCTATACAGCCTACCAGAATCATCTATTAGCATTTGGAGTAATTATGGTTTGTCTTTTTGGGACATACCCTAAAGTTGGGTTTTTTTTTCCTGAAACCACATGCCTTGCAGAATGTCTTTTCCAAAGCATTTTACTATTGATAGCAAACCTAACATCCTCAACAACTCATTTTTGATTTCTCTCTATGCTCTCTTCTTTATCTACTCTCTTCTCTTTTCTCTCTTCTATTTTGTCTTCTTTCTCCCTGCTGCTCCCACAATCAACGACGAGTTCTATTTTTCAAATTTTAAATTTCACCTCTTCATTCCCTCTGCTTTGGAACTAGGGTTTGTTTTTGCAACCATATCTCATTATTCTCACTTCCTCTTCTTCTTTCTTTAACATGGAAAGGCTTAAAGAATGTTTGCTCTCCTCAAGATGATTAAATACGGTAAAGTTTCTCTTTTTAACCTAATCAAATCACTGTCTATCTAATTTTTGAAAATATGGTTTTATCAATTTTGATTTTGTTATATCTTGAATATAATAGTATGGCTAGTGTTCCATGGAGGTTATGGGTTTGATGCTTGGAGAATTTGTGTATGAGTACGTCGTTCGTGTTGTTGATGTGTTTGCAATGCCTTAAAGTGGAACTAGTGTTAGTGTTGAAGTTGTTGATCGTGTCTTTCAGACTAATATACTTGATATGCTCAAACAAACTGGACGGTATTTTATTTTTGTTTTTGAAGTTTTTTTTGTTAAATGATTTGATTTGTTAACAACTGTTTTTTTTCCCACTTTTTAAATTGAATCCATCTCTTTTTTATTAGGTCTACAATAATGGCTTGTGCAATGAATCCATCTCTTCTTATTTTTGCAGCAAATCTACCGTTTTAACGATGTTTCTCCTGTACAAATTCAAGCTGCACAGGAATGTCACTAATGGCATTGGTCTTGTTCTTGAAGTTACTTATATATTTTAGCATACATATTTTTGTAGGAGGGTGTTAAAGTATTGACAGAAGAAGCTCCAACAATATATGTTGCTTCTAGGAGTTCTTCAAAGAGAAGTAGAGAGAAGCAGAAGTTCATAATTTGTCTGAAAAGGTTTATGTTTTTTTTTGTTTATTTGTGTTTGTTGATTTTTAGTGTTCTTATAGAATGGATTTTTCTGGAATTTGTTGAGCAGAGAAGGAGGAGTAGAATCAATGAGAAAATGAAGGCTATTCAAAATCTGATACTTAATTCTAACAAGGTGCATGTAATAAGTCAACTTTTGAGATTGACATTAATTTTGGTAAAATTAACTTGACAGTAAGATGTTGGACAAGATGCCCTAACATGAAGAACAAACTGAAAAACAAGATGTTGGACAAGATGTCCTATCATGATTATCCGACATCTTTGTTTCTTACTTTGCAGTTTTGATACTGCTAATTTATTCCCAGATTTCAAAATATTATGAGAATATTTGTTTATCCTAGGTGGCGTTCAAGATTGAGAAATCAGAGATTCTGTTTGAATTTGAAGATGTCGTTTTCTAAGTGTGTAGACATTTTAGGAAACTTTGGATTGAAGAAACTATTCTTGAGGAGAATAAACTGCAGATTCTGTGTAACAGAGTTGCTGCATTTTTGAAGCACAAATCCAGTCTAGATTATGGTTATAAATATGATGGATTTAACCTAATCAAAGTGTGGAAAATAGATTGTTGCTTAGTGAGTTTTATGGTTTATGTATTTCTGAGCCTCTCTTGTATCGTGTTGATACTAGAGATAGACTGTTTGCATTGAGTTGTAAGTTTTGTCACTGTTGTGATTAAAGGGAATTGAGAAGGGTCTCATACCTAGGAGATTCTTAGGTAGAAATTAAGCACAGGTAATGATTAAGTGATAAGTTGTAAATCAGAGGTTTATTAGCTTAAAATTAATACTATCTAGTGGATTTCATTCCTGGTTTGGTAGCCCCCAGACGTAGGTGTTGTTGTACACCGAACTGGGTTAATAATTATTGTGTGTTCGTTTACTTTCTGCAATTTTTATTGTGCTCCTTCTTGTCATTGTGTTTAAAGAAGAGATCAAATGTCTCAACATCTCTTGGGACATCTAAGATCTGCATACCCGAATTTCAATAAACAAACGACTCAAAGTAGCAATCTAACAGACTCCAGCCTAGTAACAAGAGCAAAAGTTTCATCAAAGTCCACCCCTTCAATTTGAGTGTACCCTTGAGCAACAAGTCTAGCCTTGTTTCTGGTGATCACACCTTGCTCATCAGACATGTTTTTAAACACCCATATTGTATCAATAACATTTGACACTTCAGGTCTTAGCACAAGATCCCAGATCTCATGCCTTTTGAACTGCTCCAATTTCTCTTGCATAGCATTGATCCAGAATTCATCATTCAAGGCCTCCTTGACATTCTTGGGTTCCAATTTTGAGACAAAGCAAACACCAACAACAACTTCTCTTGATCTGGTTATTCTTCCACCATTAGGATCTTCTATTATAAGCTTCTTAGGATGATCTTTTTGAATTCTAAAGGAGGGTCCCTTGTCTACTGTCTCAGTCTCTGCAGGTTCATGATTAACACTTGAGTCTGCAGCATCTTCAGAAACATCATGCAATGCTCCAACATCTTCTGTGACATCTTCAGGAACATCACTCATGAGAAAGAATATTTGAATATCATCTGTGACAACAACTTCTGTAGTTGAGTCATCAACTACAACATTTATAGATTCCAGCACAACATTAGTTCTGGAGTTGAATACTCTATAGGCTTTGCTATTTGTAGAGTATTCCAGAAAGATTCCTTCATCATTTTTAGGACCCATTGTTGCGGTGAGAATCGTGATACCAAGCTATTAATTAACTTGAATCTTAATTCTTAAATTCACAACCGGACTTTAATTTATCCAAATAGGAAAGGTTTAAAGAAAGAAAGACCTATAAAAATGCAAAGCAAAAAGCAAGGCTTAAAGCTAAGCAAAGAGAGATCTAAAGGTTCGGGGGTTGGTTATGCATAGGGTAGGTATTTCACATCCTAAACATCTGTAGTACTCTACAGGAACCTCTTGTTAATATTTGTGTTTGTTAAAGTTTGCTTGCTAAAGGAAAAGTGCTAGGGTTAAAGATATAAAGTATATACAAAGTATGTACAAAGTTTGCTCGCGAAGACATCGCATCTCGTGCCTACGTATCCTGACGGGAATGGAATCAGAGCAATCGTAGTTCCCCTAACTAGGGGTGAGAAACTCTTGACTGTGGTCAAGGTTCCAAGGGGATGTAAGCATTCATAGGGAAGTACTTACATGGAGTGCGGCGACTCCTGAATCTACGTTGAGATTGTTATGGTATAGAATATCCACGGCGGGACGCTAAACATGAGTACGGCGACTCAGATCCTAAGGCTAGGATAAGGGGTAAAGGTAAAGGATATCCACGGCGGGACGAATAAATAGAGCACGACGACTCCAAGTCCTATGACAAGGGTAAACAAGGAAAATGTCCACGGCGGGACAACTATCTGGAGCACGACAACTCCAACCCTAAGTTGTAAATGTTAACAGGAAGTTAGTTGTTAGTGAGCTCTCCAAGAAATCGCATCTTGTGCCTATGTATCCTCAAGAGGGACTTGAGAAATCAGAGCGTTCGTAGTTCGTGGAACTACGAGTTGCCAGGTTCTAAGAACTAAGAACAACTAAGACAGGTAAACAATAGACAAGGGACATGCACAATGACGATAAGTCAACACACAATCTCTTCCCTTGGATTAAGCCAATAAGGATTAAAGACAACAACAAATACACAGAAAAATATCATGTAATCAATAGACAAAGATACGCAGCAAAGCATCGTGAATAAAAAAACCTACAAACAATCATGGCAAAACATCGTGAATCAAACAGAACATGCCTAGATTATGGAAATAAATCAATCACAAATAGAATTAGGCAACAAACAGAATTATTAATCAATTTAAATATAAATATTTAAAAAGATTAACTAATAACTTAATTAATCAAATTAAATACAAACATTTAAAATAATTAATAATTAAAAATAATATACAAACAGACACGCATACTCAAATCTCACAAAAAAAAACTTGATTTGAAACCTTATGTACTGAGTCGAAAACCAACCGAAATCGAAAACAAAACCGAATTCAACTCTATATACTAAATTTTAAAAAATATTAAAGTATATATTAATAGAGTAAAATATATTTAAAAAATATTAAAGTATATATTTATATAACTTTAACTTCTACTTAAAATAAATTAGAAAAATTATATATATATATATATATATATATATATATATATATATATATATATATATATATATATATATATATATATATATATATATATATATATATATATATATATATAAGAGTAAAAATGTG